TTTTGCCCCTCCATCTCTTTCCCTGTACCAGCTACTTCTTCAAGGTATAGCTATGCTTTCAGCAAAAACTCCTGGGATTCACATACTTCCCTATTACTGAGAAGTCTCCTGGAGTAGATTTAGATTTGTTGTTGTTGTTTTCCAAAACAAAGTTTAGAGCTACCTAGACAGTTCTACCGGGTTTATAAAGATAACAAGGGGAGACATCTGTTTCTTCAAAACAACCTCTTCTACTGCAAAAAGCCAGGGAGTAAGTGTTGGTGTTTGGGGTTTTTTTTTTTTTTCACTTCCTTCAAAAGGCTTAATGGGTTGTGTAAGAAATTCTGATTGTGTATCCAGTGCAAGAGACCCAGGTCATTAGCTTGGGGTAGAATGTTGATCTTTGGAACAGAACTTGTAATTGCCTGGCAACATAAATCTAGAAAAATCAGGCTAACTTCCTTACAGACTATGTATGGCTCACTTTCCTTTCTACTTCAATTCTTTTGGCTAACAATAATAATAATAATCCAATAATTAATACATGAGCCCAGATTTTTAGATGCAGTCCCTTTACAGAAGAAATTTAAATCTCCATTGTAAGGCTGTCCATCTTTCATAGTGTTTGTGCTCATCCAGGCACAGATTCCAGATCTTGGCAAATGAAATCTCAGTTTCACGTAGGCAGTGTGACTTGCTTGTGAGTCATACAGGCCTGAGCTTTGGTTGATTACTTACATCATTACATTGATTTAATTTAAGGCAGTAATGTGATATTGAAATGCTCCTGATTGTTTTTAGAGAGTGAGCAGCTAATGAGAGTGAGTAATGAACCAGCGTGCATTATAGATGGTCTAAGCTCAAAGTTCTAACATGTGTTCTGAACTGCTACCCTAATTGTATTTAGAATTTAACTAAAATGAAGCAAACTTTTCCTTTAACGTAACCCAACTTCCAACTGCACACATAAATAGAAAACTGGCAATAGTTTATGGAAGTTTCCTCTTTGCGGATTGTGGAAAGGGTGGCTTTAAGTAATGAGGGTTTAGCAGTTGTATTTGGAGCCTGCTGGCTTGAAAATTTAGAAATAGCTTTCCTTAGCTAGCTTTGTGCTTTTTTCCAGCTGCCCTGTGTACAAGAAATGTATATGTATTTGGAAGTTTATCCAAACTCATTTTATGTATCATTAGCATAGACAAAGAAGGCTGGGGTAGGCCAAAAGTGGGGGAAGGGACAGCCCCTTTTCATTACAAAGCCAATACGCAATGACTCTGCAATGCAGAGTCAAAAGGTGTGGGTAGTGTTCTGTGCAGGTGAAAGTGAGATCGTAAAAACCTTTGTTTGTTCTTTATGTCCTGCAGACCATACCTTTCCCCTATTCATATTGACTTCTGGTCTTAAATGTTTTCAGAAAATACCAGAGAAGAAAACAGTTGTTAAGCCCAGTGCTAGCCCTTTTTTGGAAAGCAGTAACCTTCTGCAAAATGCTTCAAGTGCCAAACAAGATGAAGTTCTGAAGGCAGAAACCACAGAGGTGAGTACCTGAATCTTGTGCCTTGAACAACATGCACAGAAAAGGGTCATGCATTGTGTTGTTTTAAATAAGTCTCCTGAAAAGATGAAAATGCCTGGGCTTATTGTTTGCAAAGCTGCAGAAATGCAGCAACGTGTGACCAAACTTGTCTCTGCTTATCAGCAGGTGCACTGTTATCTACAAGAGGTTTAAATGCTATTGAGACAGTGTTTTATTCACTGCCCACTCACTTAAATGAGAGCAAAGTGCAAGGCAGTGAAGAGTTAGGTATCAGGTTCAGTATGATGGAAAATGAGGCATGATTTGACCCCTTGCTCATTCTTCTCTGAAGCACCAGTGTATTTGTTGGAGTGGATGTGATCTTTAAATGACAGGTACACTTTCTCAGAAGGGAGTTCTTGGCACATAGCAAAGATCTGTGCTTATTGAAAATCTTGTATTGGAGGCTTTACGATGAGCAAACAAGACTCCTACTCCTGATCTCAATCTTGAGCAACACATTTCTGGGAAAGGCAGCTTGGATGTCAATTCTAGCTTGTGCCTCATCAGAGCTGTTTGTTTTTTCATTATATTTTTTTCTCCCCTAGACTGAGGAACACAGGGTTAGTCTGTAGAACTGGGAATTAGCCGGTCTTCACTTGAAGTGCTGTCCTCCTTGACATAGAGAACCATGCTATTCTTCCCTTTTTCCTTACCACCAGTGGTCTGGTATGAGAGTGACCTCAGCTTGTCTGAGGTTCAGCTGAATCCCTCAAGCATGTAACTATGCTATCAAAGCCTCCCAAAACAGTGTCTGAACAGTGTCTGGTTTCCAAATACCTAGTTACCTCAACCTAGCTGAGGGAGCTCTGAGCAGACAGTCACACTCATGGCAGTACAGCCCAGCTCAGAGCCACAGTGAATCACATATCTGTGGAGAGCAAGTCCTGGAAGAACACCTTAGCTAGTTTGGCTTATCCTCTAGTCCTAGAATTGATCAACGTCTTCAGGCCACACAGCTGCTCTTGCTCATTTAGTCTGCTGGTCTAACTTCTGGCGCTGATGGCCTGCTCCTTGTAGGGGAGCTCTCCTATCGCTGAAGCTGTGTTTTCCTTGCAGGTTGAGCAATCCAACTTTGTAGCCCCCTTCGCTTTTGCATGGGTTTCCTTGAAGTCTGAGGCCCTATTATAGGCAGTTACAAAGAGAAATGGCAGTCATAACATGAACTGACAGTGTGGCCTCAGAGGGTCTTAGGAGGGGATAAGAAAAGTGTGTGGCTGTCATGATTTGATTCAACTAGAGGAGAGTGCCACAAGGCACCTGGAGAAGATTGAAATTGTAGGGTTGCTGTGGCAAAGCACAATACTGGGTAGAAGGAGAAGGGAGTGAAAAAGCCATAATGAATATGGGGAACATCACCTGCAAAGGAAGTTTCGTGGGGGATTGAGAAGAAGTGACTGTAGCTCTGGCAGTTGAATATGTGTTAACAACAAGGTGTCTTCAGAAGAAATTGGTGAGCAGTGAACTATTTTCTTTCTATAGATGTATTAAAATGTGAACTATGGTGTGGTTGAAGATGCTGGTATCAACTTGTTTATCTGATGTTTAATGCAGTGTAATTTTATGCAGAAATTTACAGGTCCTGTTCCCATTAAAACCAAAGAGCCCTCATCTCGGATTGGAAAGCTACAAGTAATCACTTTATTGGCATTTTGACTTCCAAAAAAAAAATCTTCCTCGCCTTACTGATGGCTCTCTCTGAAACAATCTTTTTGCTTCTTTATCATACTCTTGCGATTTTTTTTTTCCAGATGACTTATTGTCTGTTGTTACTTTTTCTGTATTGCATGTTCAGTGTTTTATTCCCTTCCCCCCTACCCCCTTCAAACCTGACTCTGCACTATTTAACTCTGTGTTTGGGGGGGAGAAAGGGTGGGCTGCTCTCTGACCTACTATTCTTCTCAGCACTATTTTAAGTATGTCCAAAGATTTTGGGGGGGAGGTTCCTTTTCTGCCATGAACAAGCTAATAACTGTCGTTATTACCATATCACTCTAATATCAGAACTGTTCTTGTCAGAACTGTTCTTGTCCTCAGACAGGACACTGAGCTACATGGGTGTCTGGTCTGATGTACTGTGGCTGTTCTTAGAGCTCTCATACAGAATAGTAGTGCTGAGCTCTCCACAGACTTAGTGAGAAAGAGGACATGGGAAACACAGTGAGTAGGTGTGAGAGAGGCCAGGCACTTTTAGGAGCCGAACTTGAACGCCTAAATGCACTAGCTCTTGCTGCTTCTCTGGGGCCGTGCTTCTCTAGAGCAGCATTAACATCGTGTTTTTCTTTTGTGTCTGTATGCGTGTGTTTTCTTTCTGTCTGTTTTGTAGGCTAACTTAGCCATTAACCCTGCAGCCTTGCTTCCTGGTGCAATGCCTAAGGTCTCCAGCGTTAAGTCCCCCCTGCCAGATTTGGAGACACCATTACACGAACCCAGCAATGTACAGAATAGCGAAAGCTTCTGTGCTGCAGGAAACAATGAAGAACTCGGTGTGAGCTTTGATCAGCCTATGCAAGCGGATACCTTGCACAGTGCCAATAAGGTAACCTCAGTATTTAGTAGGATACAAAAGGGGATTGAAAATACAAATCTGTCTGTCTTCTTGGAGGAGCTTGTGTTTTGGTATGCAAGTTCTTATGTGTGGTCTATCTGACCGTAAATGTAGTTGTGGAAGTTCAATCCTTCCCCTCTCCTGACCACTAAAGAGAAAGTCAAGTTTATTATGTTGTTAGCTCTGTAAAGGGCTTATGCACACGCTTTGTTCAGTAACTTTTTAAAGAACAGCTGTGCGTTCCCTAAATACAGTGGTTTTCACTATAGTTTGTAGGTCTTTTAGCATAATATCTTGTTCTTTTCCATTCTAGGCAGGAGACACCAGTCTAAAAACCAAAAAGAAGGGGTCTCTCTAGGCCAACTATAAAATCCACTGTGGACAGCTACTGTGGCAAGATATCAAGAACACATCAATGCTATAGGTTGAGCTGTACCTAGTAAAAATGTCATGCTGTCCTAAATTGTCACTCCTAATCCTTTTTCAAGCAACAAGGGTGTGGGGTTTTTTTGTTTTGTTTTTTTTTTTGTCACTGCTTTTAACATGATGGATCTCTACCTCCTGGCTCACTAGTTTTCCATTCATACTCTTTATTTTATTGACTGCAGAAGGCATTCTACTTTGACTGCAGAAGGCATTCTACTTAAGGATTTAATAGTTCTTTAAAAAAGATTGAATCATGTAGTTAAGATTTTGTCTGGGTTCTATAATTTTATGAATCTCCTGGGCTGAGAATAGTGATTTGAACAAGGTAATTGAGGGCCTTAACATTGATCCTTTCTTCCCTCAGTGCTGCTGGGGCTGTTCATTACTAGAGGAGAAGCAGAGATAATTTGGGAAGATGCAGCAGCTGTCACCATAATGGATGACATGACCCCTTTGTGTCAAATGGGTTTGGAGCTTCTGCATCAGATTAACGCATTACCATGTAGGAACCCTTATTTCCAATAGTAGCACGTTTGGCACAACAAAATCCTCTATCGTAATACTTTTAAATAGATAGGCTCGCAAAAGCATAGAGCTACAGCAGCATCCAGTCAACCTTGAATTTTCATTTTAGTACAGCAATGTTGCAGGTTTGCACGCAGAAATAGTCTGGGAAGAAGCATTGTAGAAACTATACAGTGAATGTTTTTTGTGGCTCAGACTACACATTCTAATTTTGGCACGTTGTTTCTTGAATCTTTCAGTTCTGAGTTAAAATGTGAATGTATGCAGCCAAACATGTTTTTTTTTCCCCAAAGGCTGGATCAAAGCAACCCACCCAGTATTCTGTCTCTGCTTTCAAAGCACGGTGCATGGATCAGGGGACTGGGCTTCCAAGTATCTCCCTTCCATCCTCGTTTTCCTGGCTTTCTGAAGTGCCTTGATTAATATAGCCCCCCCCACCCTGAAAGCAGATGTGCTGCTAAAACGATTGTGACAAAAGAGCATAGTTCCTCTAAGCTGAGTTGCAACACATCCATCTAGGTTGTCCTTCAATTCCAACACAGCAATTGGTGAAAGGGGAAAGAAGGTTGTACTGTTCTGCTTCCTGCCTCTCTGAATACCCCTGCCCATGTTGGGTATGGTAGAGGCTATAATGAAAATTTGCAGGAGGGCTGCTCTAAAAGCAGCAAAGGAATGAACTGCAGCTGGCTACACATAAAACGAAATTAAATTGAAAATGTTATATTCTGTCCAGCTCATGACTAATGTACTGCAGGAGCAGAAGCCCCTAGAATAGCATGCTGTCAGACTGAGGTATTACCTAGAGCTGAGGGACTAGTGCCTTGCTGACCTGTGCTGTGACTCTGTAATTGATTTGCTGTTGCTTTTGCACCCCAATTCTGCCCACTGTGAAATGACCAGAGGGCAGCAAATCAAAAGCTGCAGACTTCAAGGTTCCACTTGTCTCATCTCCCCCCTTTCTGAAAGATAGGGAGAAAGGGATGATGCTGAGCTGATGACGCATGGAGCCTGCTGCTTCCTCTGAAGCTACAGCAGTGTCCGTTCAGCTTTACTTGCTCAGCATTCCTAGCTGAGCTCTTGTTTAAATGTACATGTAGCTGTTCAAATTACTTAAACCTAAAGCTATGAGCAGATCTGGGAGTTAATCCAGTTTCAGTAATGTGCTAGTATGAAATGGGTAATGCATGTTAACTTGCAGTGATGTGAAGGCAAATGGAAATATTACAAGTGAACATAACATGAATTTTAACCTATCTTCTGCAAAGTGTGTTTTTTTTTTTTCCTTGTGCGTAACAGTGTTCTGCTTTCACTCCGTGCTTGCAGACCAGGATCAAGATTACGGGAAAACGGAGACCTCCTAGCAGAACAGCCCGACGTCTAGCTGCCCAAGAGTCAGGTGAGAGTGAGGAGGTGGACAGTGCTAAGGAATTGCAGTCCTCACTACCAAAACAGAGGTCGGCAGTAGTGACCATAAAGGAGCCCCTTGCTACTGAACCGGAGTCCAAGGAAAATGGCTTTCTCTCTGGCTTGTCGATACCAGCTCATGGCAGCATTCTCTCTGTTGGGACAGACAAACGCCTTTCTTCAGAATCCACAGACCAAGGGGATGATCTGTTTGAATCAGAAGACCTTTTTGCAAGCAGCTCAGCATCCAGACCAGCTGCACGATCAAAGACGAGGGAGGGAATGGCAGAGAGTTTGGCTAAAAAACCTGTCAAGGACAGAGAGGAAAAACCTGTTCTGTCTGTTCTGGATGATCAGGACAGCGATGATCTCTTCCAGTCTGTACAGCACAAGTCTTTGAAGAAAAATAGCCCTATTCCCTTCTTAGAGGAGGAGGAGGAAGATTCTCTCTTTACCTGTCAGAAAACTGGAAAGAAGGAGCTGAAACCTGCTGTCCAGCAAGGTGTTGACCCTACTGCCCAAGATATCTTTGAGGTAATGGTTGAGGCTTGGTAGAAGGAGTTGGGGGAAAGCCTGCCAGGGTCCTATGCAGGATCTGCTGCTTAGGCGCAGGTTGAATGGAGACTGCTGAGTAGGATGGGCTGTACAGGATAGGCCTTGAAGGTAAAATACAAGATGTACTCTGCTACGGGGCAGTAGAAACCCTTTGGCTTGAATGTTTACCTCTTTAATAGCAAGAGTGGAATTAAAGGTGGGGCCTTAACACAGAGCAGGTGTGTCAATGGATGTGCTGTGACAATGTACCTAAGAATATCGCCTTCTTCAGACTAGTAAAGGACTTAGTTCTCTTCTGTTACTTGCCTTTTCAATGCCCAGCAGCACAAATAGCTTTTTTTAAAACAGGAATAAAGTTAGCAGACTGGGGAGTTGGTACAAGCTTCTGTGTGCTGTATTCAATCTGTGCAGTCTCACAGTAAGGCATGTCTGTGGGGCCCACCATGGGGAGAAGGAGTCGAACTTCTCAGGTTTGAGATGCCTAGGCTGTGAAATCTTCTCAACATCTCAGCTGCTGCGTACAGCTCAACTTGACTGTTCTGTTGGAGCACGTTGGGTACTGATGATCTCCCTATGCTTTGTTCTAAGGATGATATATTTGCTACTGAGGCAATTAAACCAACAAACAAAGCAAAAGAAAAAATGCCAGACGCTAACCTGTTTGATGATAACATTGATATTTTTGCGGATCTCACTGTAAAACCAAAAGAAAAGAAGACCAAGAAAAAGGTGGAACAAAAGTCCATATTTGATGATGATATGGGTAAGTGTTTAATATCTTGGTACTAACTTTGTAATACTGCCCCTGAGTTAAGTTCATCAAAGATGTTGTAGAACACTTTGCGTTCTTTTAATACTTCAGCCACTCTGAAGTCTCTGGCCATCTTTAGATTTTAACCTCTGATGAGGACTTCCTAGACTTGTAGAACTAGCAGAGTATTTACATGCTTCATGAGAGAGTGTATAAAATTGTTCTGAGAGGAGGAAGAGGTTAATTCCTACAGTGTTTTTCTCACCTTAGGAAATTAGAAAATGAGTATTTCTTCTATGTGGAGAAGGAGACTAATCTCCTGTTGTCATGGCCTTAAGAAATACAGTCTTCATTCCAATTTCAATGCTGTTTCTTGTATTTTATTTTCAGGTGAATCACTGATGTGCTTAAATTAACACCTCTTTTCCTTTCCCCTCCCCCCCTTTACTGTTACATTGACTGTCATGGAGTCCCATAAGATTTTGTTTACATCTGTGTACATCCAGAGCAACTTGCAAATACTACACTAGAGAGCAAAAGTTGGCCCTTTATCTAGACCTTAGTGACAATTTTCTTCTTGAGAACAATAAATTTTAGAAGAGACTACCATTTCTCTTAGTCAAGAAAGCAGCATATGGTAATATGAAGTAGTGAAAAGTATGCTCCTTTCTTGCTGTCCGTCAGTGGAGGTATCGGAAGCCATATAATCCTTTGATTGTGTCTTGTTTGTTCTCAGGCTCCTCACACTTGTAGCTCTCCGAGGGGATTCCACATTTTTATTTTAGAAAAATGTCCCCTTTACCCTAGCTTTAATTCCTGTCAGGCTTTGTTCTTTCTGACTATGCATATTGAATCCGATGTATTACTGTTTTGCTTGGGCTGCTGTTAAGTGTCCAATGTAATGGAATGACCTGGCTAAAATCGCTAAAAGTGTTAGAAAGCTTGCCAGAAAATGAACGTTTTGAGATTTCAAAAATCTTCTGCTCTGAAAAATAAGACTTACACTTCTGCGGACAAGCTATTTGAAATATGTATTGGGTCAATAGAAATATTTTGTTTTAATCCTTCACTTTTTTTCCTGTAGATTATAGCAAACAAAAGAACTTTATGAACAGCTGCCCCCTTCCAAACACTTCTGCACAAAAATCCAGAACTTCATGTTGAAAAAACAGTCGGAGAGTGTCATTTGAAAATAAATTTGAAAATTAGTCCCAACAGATCGCTTGTACCTCCACTTTTGACATATATTATAGTGCTACAGCTCATTGTTTGGTGCCTTATCTGATGATGTTACCTGCAGCAGTGTTTAAGGAATGGCTCCCCTTCCTGCACCCTGATCTGATTGACTTCATGTTCCCCTATACCATTGACTGTTTTTGTGATGCAGCCACGTGTAAGCAGCTTCTTAGTGCCCCAAGGTATGGGGGTCCAAAACACTAGCAGAAGCATAGGGAAATTGAGGAGGAAGGTGAAGTGAGGATGCCATGCTGGCAGCAGAGGTAAGATTGGCACTTGCCTACCTTTAGGTTAAGGGTTGGCTTTGGTAATTATGGTGGCACCTTACCAAGGCTGCATATTGCTATCTTAGGAGCCCCATTCTGCTGCACATAAAACAGTAACTGGATGCCCTTTAAGGAGGAAGGGGAAGGCTACAGGCTGCTTGCTTTCTGTGTCCTACCACACCTTCTAGTCGTTATTTAGTACATTTGTGTCAGTTCTTTGAAAGCTGCCACCACAAACCTATTTTGTGAGTCTTTGTCCTCCTAGCCTCATCTCTCAAGTTCTTCAAACACTGATGTTCCAGATCAGAGGGATGTTATCTGGAACTTGCCAAGTGGAATTCAGTGTGGAGATTTAACTTATTAATGCTTGTCAGATGCTCAGACATGTTATAAAATATGAAGTATTTATTCTGCTCAACTGAGAAGAAAAAATATTCTTGATTTGACTTACAGCTACCAGCTCCCACGTATGTTTTTACAAATACATCTAGAATTGCAAGCAGCAGGAAAGCATTTGTTTATCACAGAATGTCCTTGGCACATGCTGCTGTGTGCTGGAGACTTCTCTATGCAATGTTACTTCTGTTTGGCAATCACTTCCCTTTAATAGCTATCTTTTTTTCTTTTTTTCTTTCCTAGATGATATCTTCTCTAGCAGTCCAGTCAAGATACCCACTCCCAAACGCCGATCTTCTCAGGCAGCCTCGGACATGAAATCTGAAAGCAAGGCACTGAGCACGTTTGATGACCCACTGAATGCCTTTGGAGGCCAGTAGCCAAAGTGGGGTTGTTGCAGAGAGGAGGCCTTCTTTATGTCCTGTCCAGTACTAATACTCTGAATTATCTAATACAATAGAGCTGAAATGAGATGGCTGTGGTTATTTAAATTACAGGCTACTCATTTTACGTGGTTAGTATCTTCTTGTACTGAGTCTAACTGGGCTTAACAATATAGTAAAAAAAAAAAAAAAAACAAAAGAAAAACCAACAACAACTACTCCAGCAGTAACCTCCTGCTATCCTGTTTCCGTGGTGCCCAGATGGATATAGCCTGTGCAATACCCGCAATGAAGTAATCTATTATACAAAGTATAGTTTGTTTTATTGAACAGATCTACAAAGAGAATCATTGATATTGCTAAATAGTAAATGGAATCTGTTTAAACCAGATCTGGCTGTATGTCTTGCTTCCTTCTTTACCACTTGCTGAGGACATCTGCATCGTGACTTGAAAACAAGTAAAACCACTACCGTGCTGTGCCTAGGTCAGTTGTCAGTCTATTGTGCTAATGTTCCTGTAAGACTGAGCCCTGCTATCGGGGACAGTTCTTCCTTCTATGTTATAAAGTAGTTAGGCTAGATATTTTGTACTGGCAACTAATGCAGTCTATAAAACAACGTTTAATACTTCTCTGCTAGAAAAAGTATGACAGAAGAGCACCTAGTACTACACAAAGACGATAGAAGTCTAATGTTGTCTTCTGTTTAAGTTGCACCAAAATTCCATGTACAATGTTTTCCAAGGAGTCCATCTGTACTGGGCATGCTTGGTCACTTCCTAGTTAATGCAGAGACTCACTTGTGCCCGTGGGCTTGGTTCACCTCTTACTGTCCATTTTCCTTTCTTATCTGTTACAGTTTTATCGTGAGCTGTTAACAGCTCGTCATTATTTTGTGGAATCTTATTATCTAGTGTGTTTAGCTAAACTCTCTTGCTTCCCCTATTTTCCCATGTTTTTGAATTTTGCCATTAAACATACTTAATGTCAAGTGGTAGGCACTTGCTCATCTGCATGCATACAAGCAGAGCGAATGTATAGATAGAGAAGGATCAAACGTTTCTGTTGTTTCTGTTATCTTACCAGTGGCTGCCTGCAATTCTGTCTTTAAAACTAGGCTGTTATTATGATAACAATGTACTACTTAATTGTTTGACTGAACATGCTGCTTGTTCTACTTTTTGTGAATTTAAAGCAGATGCTCAGAAGACCTCTTTGAGAGCAGTTCACGCTGTTGCTCAAGCCATTGTTCTGAGATAGCTGCTTCAGTCCCTCCTACTTCTGGAGTTAGCTTTACTTTATCAAATTTGCTAAATATTACAGGCTAAGCGTTTAGCAGTATTCAGGATAAAGCTGAGGGGAAGGTTGGGAGTGGTAAAGAGGCATCATATATTGATTTGCACCTTAGGTATGCAATGGCAATGATTCATGTTGGGTGGGGGGGAGGATAACTGGAGAGTAGCAGCTTGGAGAGGAACGTGGGAGACTTTTGCAAATAGGTGTCTATAGTGAGAACTCTTGTGCTTTATAGGCATTACATCTGCTGCTTATGTCTCATAAAAGACTTGAATTGCCTCTTTACTCCTTTCTTCTGTGCTTAAAAAGTCTTCAAAGACATCTTGGGGGAGAATAGAAAAAGAGATGGTGAATTCTCCTTTCTTTTCTCCATCCTTCTTTCTTAGCCCTTTACATTAATAACTTGTATTAGCATTGCAAAGAGTGCCAGTCACAAGCCAAGAACCCTGGGGACCAAAAGCTGTTGGAGTAGAAGAAAGCAAGCTCCTGTCTTTTAAAAGAGTTTAAGAAAAAAACTTTAATGTGAAAGTTCAGGAGAAAAGAGGCCTTGATAGGAACTTGCACTATATCATAGATGAAAACCTTTCCTTCTCAATCTTATTTTAAGTGGCATATATTAAAGTTGCCATATTAAAATGTGTGGTCCTCTGTTAACTCCCCTTGACATATTGTAAATCCTAGTCTAGGCACTCCACTCTTCTTTTTTTTTTTTTTTTGGGGGGGGAAGTGTCTGAGCAGTGTTTTACTGAGGTTGTGACCTGATGCTTTTTTACCAACTTTTTAGACACTGCTGTAATTATTTAACGTTTGATAAACCATGGCTGTTTTTTCTTGGAAGAGCAGGACACAAATCTTAGACTCCAATACTTGCTGTGTGCATTTGTTTAAAAAAAAAAAAAAAACCACCATTAAATTTGTTTGGTGTGTTTTAAGTGAGCATGAAGCCCAACAACTAGCATAACTGTGTAATGCTTGCATAATTTAAATCCTGAATTGAGAAGTTAAGCAGTTAGTTTAATTAGCACCTTTTAATAAACCAGACTTGTTTTATTTGGCATTTCCTCAGAAGAACAATCTGCTGACCATGATCGTGCTAGGAAAGAACTACTGGCAGTAGCTATGCTGCTTTAATACCTGCAGCATTTTTGCATACACACTAGTGAGCCTTGTGTGGCTTCTGCAGCTGAAAAAGGAAATATGCTCAACCGAAAGAAGAGAGGGTTGATCTGCCTGCTTTGAGGCAGTAGTTTTGTTGCGGTTTCTATAATTTTGTGTCGAGGTGGGGCTACCTGATGCAAGGGCCTGTGGCTTACACAGACACCCTTGCCTCCTCCTGTGTGGTAGTGCAGCTTCTGTTTTTCCTAGTGTCTTTCCTTGCTGAGGATTTATGCCTGAGTCTTTCAGAACTACAAGTGTTTGAGTGGTTTTTTTTCTTGTTCATCTTCAGCAATGTATAGCTCTTGAGTACCTAGCTGCTCCTTGAAAATGAGGAAGGTGCTTTATAAAAGTTTGGCTTGCATTATAAGCTGCATGATGGCTTTTTAGCAGTACTGAAGCATAAAAATTCTTCAGAAATGGGAATCGAAGCAGCTGTCATCTGCACCTCCTTAGTGATGCTTATTTAGGTGGTGTTTAGTGGATGAGTGAAACGCACTCGCAGCTCTGGCAGGGGCTTTCAGACCAACTGTTTGACCCAAGCCCACTGCTGAAACGCAGCGCGCGTCGGTCAGGCCAGCTCTGTAAGGGGTTCCTGCTGTTGGCTTTTGCTAACTGAAGCCAGGGAGCAGGTTTTGCTGTGCCAGCACCAGCTGTGGAGGGAAGGGGAGGCTGCAGGGCCCGGCAGCGCCCAAGGCCCCAGCCTCACCTCTTCCTGCTGTGCTGTGGGCAAGGTGGCAGGAGG